AAGGCAGCTGCCATGACTGGACAGCTTTCTGGTTTCATTACTCAAGTCAACGAGGTCGCTTCTGAATGTAAATCTATACACTGTGTCATCTGTAAAGAAATGCTGGCTAGCCGAGAAATGGCACTTGAACGTAACAAAGTTCTGCAGGATGTAATTAAAATTATCAACCAAATTAAAGTACATGCTCTTAACTCCTGTCCGTTCACTCAGTTCTGTGAGGAGATGAACCCAGAGCACAAACGTCTTCTTTTATATACAGCAGTGAAATGGCTTTCAAAGGTAGGTTGCTAGCCAGAGTTTTTGAGTTATGAGAGCAGCTCTAGAGATTTCTTTTGGAAAAACAGTCACCATTGGTATATTATTTCAGTGACCCAGAATGAGTTCCCAAACTTGCTTATTTGTGTGGCATATTCAGCATGCTCAATCTGTCATTTCACGGAGAATGACAACTGTATTCAAGTGGGCAGATGAAATACCTACATTCAAAGTCAAACTGGAATTATGGAAGCGGTGAGTGAATATTGGGATTTTTGACATGTTTCAAACATTAGCAGAGATTTTTCAAAGAGACTGAATCAGGGCTTTTTTTCTCCCAGCTGGTACATGATCACCTATTGCAGCTTTCAAAGAATTTTGAGAATTACTTCCCAAACACAGATGACACCCAAACTGGGAAGAAATGGATCTGTGACCCATTTATGAATAAGCCAGGTGAATCGACTTTGTCCATGTTAGAAGAGGATCAACTTCTGGAAATCGCAAATGATGGTGGCCTTGAAAGTATGTTTGAGACAACTTCAAATATGCAGATGTTCAGGATTAAAGTCAAAGCAGAATAGTCTGAGATTGCCACAAAAGCACTGAAAAACCTGCTTCCATTTCCAACATCCTGTCTTTGTGAAGCAGGGTTTTCTGCAGTGACAGCAACCAAAATGAGATTATAGAGTAGACTGGGCATAAGCAGCACACTTTGGGTGTCACTGTCTCCCATCACCCCCAGATGGGACCGTCTAGTTGCAGAAAAACAAGCTTAGGGCTCCCACTGATTCTGCATTATGGCGAGCTGTATAATTGTTTTATTGTATATTACAATGTAATAATTATAAAGTACATAACAAATGTAATACACTTGAATCATCCCCAAATCACCCCCATCCTGGTCCATGGAGAAGTTTTTTCCACAAAATGGTTCCTTGACGCCCAAATGGTTGGGGAATGCTGTTATATAACACAAATGTTATGAGGATTAAGTGAGGTAACACATTTAAACTCTTGGGGCAGTCTCTGATATTTAGCAAGTCTTCAGTAAATGGTAATGTTGATGGTGATTATTACAGAGGAGGAAAGGGAAGAACAAAAGAAGGTGGACAGAGCAGCAATGAAATTAGATTTTATAGGCAATTGAAAGTCCTCCCTCAAATATAAAGAGATGAATGAGAGCAATTATTTAATATCTTATACATACCATTTGTTTATATAAAAATGTTGCAAATAAATATAACTTCATCTTTCCAGCAGTCCTACAAGGAAGAAATATAATTTCTACACAAATAATCTTGTACTTACAATACCTGGCCCAAAGTCACATAACTCATAAATGACTAAACCAGGTATCACAGAGGGAACACCAGGATTCATAGGGTTATTAATCTTTCCAGCAAACTACTATGTTACACCTGTCATTTCCTCAGTCTCTATATAAATTAAGAGGAAGAGGAGGAAAAAATAGATGCCTAGTTGCAAATTATTTCTACTTAAGCCTAAAAGTTACTATTGCTTTGATCTATGTGTTCCTGCTTTTCCAATATGATGTATTCAAATGGGACTGAATGTGAATTCTGCACAGAACATTTCTATGGAAACAGCTGTGGGTCGTATTGGCCTCCAGACACACAGTCATAATAATTAACACAAGTGGGTACAAGTCAGAGAGCCATTGTTGAAGATCTTGGGAACCTTCGCTAATTGTAACCTTGCCCCATGGATTCCTACTTTCCAGCTAGGGAACTATCTACTGGTAATACTCAGCCTCTTCATTACTAATTAGCCATCTCCATCTCCTTTCTCATTTCATTTGCCCTCTGCTTGAAGTTGTTTTGAGTAAATTAAAACTGAAAATACTTTGTACTGTGTCCATATTGTGGCTGGAGAACCTGAGTCTAAGGCAGAAACTTATAAAAACTTCTCGCGTACATCATCTACAAATTTTCTGTCCTCCGAAACAACAGATTGCATTTCTGGCTTTAGTGAACATCTGTGTTCTTTCCAATGTACTCTACTATCCAGCACAATAATATACGTACTTAGATTCCCACAGAATCATTCTAATGTAAGGCAAGCCTACAGTTTACTCTCTGTTTTCAAAGTATATATTAACGCCCCCCCAAAAATGTGCAGCTGTGCTTTATTGTGTGTTTTCTGATCCTTCACAGACTCAGACATTCTGGTGTTTTATCAATAAGACAAAATGTGTTTTTTGGGATGACTAAAATTGTATATAAGACCAAAAATAACCATAAAACAGTTTATCAAACAAAGTTTGTATCTCTTTGTGCTCTATCCTATTGCGGGCTATTTTTAGTCAAGCCAGCTAATATTTTGTTTATGAAGAAAATTTCCTACCTGTTCTTATTCCTGAAGAGTTGAGCTATTTTTTTTTCTTTTTTAGTTGAGAGAAAAAAAATCTGAAATCTCATATCTATGTCTCCATTCCATATTTCATCTGGAGTTCAGACCTGCAAATTCCAGCGTCCACGGAAAGGGATGTCCCTTATGTACTTAAAGCACAGCATCATCTTTAAAAATATTTTCTCTCCATAAATCTCCCAACTCTGTGAATGAAACCACCAAATAGACAGTGGTTCAGCCAGAAACTTGGACATTATGCTTGACTCTTCCAAATAATCACCAAGATGTTTCAATCCCAATATTTAAATATCTCTTTAAAATTCCAACAGCTTTCAACACCCCTCCCCAGCCCCACTCCTGTCATTCAGGCGATCTTTTTTTTTCATGGATTATTACAAAAGAGTCTTAATGGAGCTTCCAAATGTTAGTTTTGACCATTTTGTTAACTTGACACACTGCGGCCAGAATTCACTTTCTAAAGCACAAAAATGCACCATTTCCCTTCTTAAAGTCTTGGTCTCACTGGACCTATGTGATCTGGGATCTGTGCATCTCGTTTTCCCACACTCTCTTTGTATTATCAACAACTCACCTAGGCTGGATTGCCTTCTGTTCCTCAAACATACAATGCACTCTTCTCAGGTCCTTTTGCAAACCTTTAAACACACACACGCGCGCACACACACACACACACACACACACACACACACCACTGCCCAAATCAGTGGCTTCTAATTATCTTCCAGAAAGATTATTCACACTCCCCAGATGTCACTGAGATGCTCTCCTTGGAGCTCCCATTGTGCTTAGAACATCCAGCCCAATAGATTACTTTCATAACTTTCATATTGCATTTGAATACCTTACTTACCTTTTTTTTTTTTTTTTGTATCTAGAAGGTCAATGAAAGCAGGGGTCATGCCTATATATCTTTTTAAAGTCAACATTTATTAAACATACTATGAACCAGTTCTTCAAACTTTCCCCACAATCCTTTGAAATAGTTATTATTTTTACCTTGTTTTACAGATAGGAACCCAAGACACAGAGAGATGAAACCTACCCAACATCACACAGCTAATGAGCTGACCTGAGATTCCACTCGGGCAATCTGTCTCCTATGCTCATAACCTTAACAACTGTGCTAAATTGCCTGTATTATTAATTATTACATTCCCAGTGCCTCATCCAGTGCCAGATGTTTAATAGGTGCTTAGAATCGATTTGTTGGATAAAATTAAGGACAATGGAGACTTCCATCAAGTATTAGTGTTATAATAATCCATCAAGGGGGGACTAGTATTCTTCAAGAAAGGATGTATCAAATTATACATCAAATATATACATTACTATGTGTCAATTTTTTTTAAAGCTGGGAAGAGCAACTCAAGTCTTAAGTGGATAAGGAAATTGGCAGTGTTTAGTGGCACAGGACTGTGTCTTAAGAGTATAGGAGTCAGTAAGTATACATGCAATACAAGGTGGTAACCATGACCACAGTAGTCACTCTGTGAAGGTATTTGACTTTTTTTTAACCTATAAGTCAATGACCTTTAAAAATAAATGTTCATGCTAAACTAGAGTGCAGGCAGTGAAATAGCAGGCCCAGGTGCAAGGGAAGAAAGCTAAGTTATGCTGATGCCAGTCACAGAGACAGAGGCGGGACAGTTGCATGCACATGAACGAGTTACCAAATGGACAAGACAACCCATGCAAAGGATTTGTCTGCCATAAGATGGGGACTGCTGTGTAGAACTAAAGAAGTGTTTCAGTAAATATAACATTTTGGTATGATCACAAAAATGTCATGCAGACATGTTCTAAATAAGTAGACTGTATCTAATCCAGCAGAGGGGACTTTCTAGTGTTTTATAACACTGTACGATAACTACAGTTCACGATAAAATTTACTTTCAGATAGCTAGAAGGAGGATATTGAATTCCCAACACAAAGAAATGATAAATAAATGAGATGATACCTATGATAATTAACCTGATTTGATCATTATACATTATGTGTATTGAAGCATTTCTATGTACCCATAAATATGTACCATTATTATATGTCCGTTTAAAAAAGAAAAAAGCAAACAAATAAATTTAATCTTAAAAAGAAAAAAATAATTAATAATGTTTTCTCTTTTTGTGGGCCAGCTGGGTATGTGAAGTGCATGAACACATTCAGGATAGACATAGCCAATGAGCAAATTTGGGGTTGAGGGAAGGAGCCTATGCAATTATTTTGCTTTTAGCAACTGGGAAGCAATTTACTCTCAGAGATTAAATGTAATGCAGTGACTAGCAGTGATCTGTCCTCCTTGCTGTTAATAATTTTTATAGTTAACAGTGGTCTTTGTGATGCTTGTTTTTAGAATGTCCACTAAGTTACTGCAAAAATGGTGGGACTTGTGTAGTGAAGAAAAATGGTCCTATGTGCCGGTAAGGAGCAATTGTCTATTTTAAAACATTATTTAAGTTGACTTACTTATTTTTCTTGAGGCTGATATAATAGAAATAAATCAATGCATGGTTATTTAGGTCAAAAGAGTGGATAATGGCATTATTTACATTTATCTGTCTGAATAAAAGAAAATGTGAGTGTATTTCAGAAAACTACCAATTATGTAATATGATTTTGCATGTTTTCAACATTTTATATTATACAGGTTATATACTTTTCTTCATGTTGTTTTGTTTTATTTCTTTTTGTTGTTGTTTAGCATTCTTTTAGTATTATTTATTATAAAGATGTGGGGTACAATTCAGGGTTTGGTATATAAACATTGATCATGCAAGTACCCTTTTTGATGAGGTATGCCCCTCCCTCCCCTAGCAGTTTCCCTCAACTGCCAATCCCCCTACCCCCTTTCCTGACAGTTTCCCACTACTGCCAATCGCTTTCTTATAGCATTATAATTGTTCAAGTCCAGCTTATGAGTGAGAATATATGGAACTCAGTTCTTTGTTTCTGTGATAAATCACTGAGTATGATCAACTCCAAATACCTCCAAGTTGCTGCAAAGTCCATATATTTGTCCTTCTTTATGGCTGCATAATATTCCATTGTATATAGTACCACATTTTTTAATCCAGTCCAGCTTCAATGGGCAACACTGTTGGTTCCATGTTTTTGCTATTGTGAACAGAGCTGCAACAAACATACATGTGCAGATATCTTTTTTGTAGAATAATTTGAGTTCCTCCGTGTATATTCTCAATAGGGGAATTGCTGGGTCATATGGAAGGTCAATTTCTAGTTCTTCCAGAAATCACCACACTGTCTTCCAAAGGGGTTGCATTAGTCTGCATTCCCACCAGCAGTGTAGAAGCATTCCTTTTTCTCCACAGACTCGCCAGCACCTGTTGTTGTTTGTTTTATTAATTATGGCCATTCTTACAGGGGTTAGGTGGTATCTCAATGTAGTTTTGATTTGCATTTCTCTGATGATGAGTGAGGTTGAGCACTTTTTTTGTGTCTGTTGGCTTTCTGTATATCGTCTTTTGAGAAGTGTCTATTCATCTTTTGCCCACTTTTTAAAGAGGTTGTTTGTTTTTTTCCTTTGGGCGCATTTGAGTTCCTTGTAGATCCTAGATGTAAGGCCTTTGTCAGATATACAGTTGGTAAATATCTTTTCCCATTCTGTAGGCTGTCTCCCTGCTCTCTTGATGCTTTCTTTTGCTTTGCAGAAGCTCGTTAATTTGATGAAGTTCCACTTATCTATCTTATTTATTAAGATATTGGCCTTTAGGGTTCTAGATAGGAATTGGTTCTCAGTTCCCATTTTCATAACGGTATCTCCTACACTTTCTAGGATTCTTATAGTTTGAGGTTTTACGTTTAGGTCTTTGATCCATTTAGAGTTTATTTTTGTGTATGGTGATAGGTAGGGGTCCTGTTTCAATCTTCTGTGTGTGGCCAGTCAGTTTTCCCAGCACCATTACTGAATAGGTTCTCCTCTACCCAGTGGTTGTTATTGGAGGGTTTGTCAAACTTGAGTTAGTTGAGGAATTGAGGTTTTCCTTCTGGAAGCTCTATCCTGTCCCATTGGTCTATGTGCCTGTTCTTGTACCAATACCAGGCTGTTTTGATTACTGTAGCCTTATAGTAAAGTTTGGAGTCTGGGAAGTGTGATGCCTCCTGCTTTTTTCTTTTGCTAAGGATTGTTTTAGATATTCGTGGTTATTTATGTTTCCATATGAATTTCTGTGTTGTCATTTCCAGGTCTGAAAGGAATGATGTTGGTAACTTAATGGGTATCACATTGAATCTGTAGATTGCCTTTGGTAGGATGGACATCTCAACAATGTTGATTCCACCTATCCATGAGCATGGAATATCTTTCCATTTGTTTGTGTCTTCTTGGATTTCTTTGAGCCATGTTTTGTAATTCTCATTGTAAGGGTCTTTCACTTCTCTGGTTAGGAAGATGCCGAGGTATTTCATTTTTCTGGTGGCTATCATGAATGGGGTTGTGCTTTTTATTTGGGTCTCTGCCTGCTTGTTGTTGGTGTATAGGAATGCAGCTGTCTTTTGCACATTTATTTTGTACCTTGAGGCTTTGCCAAAGTCCTTTATCAATGCAAGCAGGTTTTTGACAGATTCTCTTGGATTTTCAAGGTATAGAATCATATCATCAGCAAAGAGGGATAACTTGACTTCCTCTTTTCCTATTTGAATACCCCTGATTTCCTTCTTTCGTCTAATTGCCTGAGCTAGGATTTCCAACACAATATTGAACAAGAGGGATGAGAGTGGGCATCCTTGTCTTGTTCCAGTTTTCAGGGGAAATGTTTCTAGTTTCTGTCCATTTAGCAATATGTTAGCTGTGGGTTTATCATAGATGGAGCTTACTATTTGGAGGTATGTTCCTTCTATACCTAGGCATTTGAGGGTTTTTATCAAGAAGTTTTATCAAAAGTTTTTTCTGCATCTAATGAGATAATCGTGTGATTCTTGTTTTTACATCTGTTGATGTATTTAATTACATTTATGGTCTTATGAATGTTGAACCAGTCCTGCATCCTGGGGATGCAGCCTGCTTGGCCATGGTGGATGATTTTTGAGATGTGTTTTGGGATCCGATTTTCTAGAATCTTGTTGAAGATTTTTGCATCTATGTTCATAAGGGATATTGGCCTGCAGTTGTCTTTTTTTGTTGGATCTTTACCCAGTTTGTGTATCAGTGTGATGTTAGCTTCATAAAATTATTTAGGGAGAATTCCATCTTTTTCAATTGCCTGGAATACTTTCAGTAGAATTGGTATCAGCTTCTCCTTGTACGTTTTGTAGAATTCTGCTGGAAAACCATCCAGTCCCGGGCTTTTTTGGTAGGTAGTTTTCGTATGACAGAGTCAATTTCCTGGGTTGTTATTTGTCAATTTAGTATCTCAGTGTCTTCTTGTTTTAACATGGGGAGATTGTGTGTTGTCAGAAAGTCCTCTATTTCATCTAGGTTATCAAGTTATTTCCATATAGGTGTACATAGTAATCTCTGATAATCCTTTGTATGTCTTCAGGGTCAATGGGATTTGATCTTTTGTATTTCTGATTGTGTTTATCTGGGCTTTTTCTCTCTTTTTCTTGGTCATTCTGGCTAGGGGCCCATCAGTCTTGTTAATTCTTTCAGAGAATCAGCCTTTTGTTTTGTTGATGTTTTCCATGATATTTTTGTCTTCCGTGTCCCATATTTGGGCTCTTATTTTTGTGATTTGGATTCTTCTGCTACAGTTGGGGTTTGGTGGTCTTCTCTTTCCAGTTCCCTTAGGTGATTTGTTAGCTGCCCACTTGAGATCTTTCCATTTTCTTGATCTGTGCTTGCAAAGATATAAATTCCCCTCTTAGAACTGATTTCATGGCATCCCAGAGGTGGTATGATGTTTCTTCATTTTCTCTTGTTTGCAGGAATTTTTCAATTTCTTCTCTGATTTCAGTGTTGACCCGGTTGTTGTTCAGCATCATGCTGTTTAGTGTCCATATCTTTGTGGGCTTTGGGGAAATGTTGTTGGTTTTGATATTTATTTTTATTCCACTGTGGTCTGAGAACGTGCATGGCAAGATTTCAACCTTATGGAACTTGTTTATGCCTGATTTATGGCCAAGGATGTGATCGATCTTGGAGTATGTTCCATTTGGTGATGAGTAGAATGTATATTCTGTGGTTGTTGAGTGGAATAATCTGTAGGTATCTACTAAATCCATTTGGTCAAGTATCAAGTTTAGGTTCTGGATCTCCTTGTTGATTTTTTGCCTCGATGATCTATCTATGGCTGTCAGTGGGGTATTCAAGTCCCCTGCTATAATTGTATTAGAGTCAACATCTTTTTAAAGTTTATTTAGTAGTTGCTTTATAAATGGTGGTGCTCCTGTGTTGAGTGCATATATGTTTAGAATGGATACTTCTTGTTGATGGATTGAAACTTTTATCATTATGTAGTGCCCTTTAGCATCTTTTTAAGTTTTTGATAGCTTAAAGGTTGTTTTGTCTGATGGGATATTTACTTTTAATGATACTCATTATTCCTTCTTTTTAATATATCAGTTTTCAAAGATTTTTTTTCTGATATGGATATCTTCTTATTTCAGATGAACTTAGTGTCTGTGTTTTCTTTCTCTCTTTTTATTTTAATTTCCATATTTCTCTTTCTCCAACAACAAAGGGCAAAATTAACTTATGAATAAAACCATTTCCTATCTTATGCAATGAATGTTTATGAATAAAGTTAAGGTACAGATAAGGAATACATTTGCATATTCAAAGCAAGAATAAATAAAAACAGGCCTTGTGATTTCTTTTGGGAATTATTTATATTGCATATCAAAGATTGCTTGATTTTTTTTCTCTTATGCTTTAGGGAATTGTGCAAAACAGTTTCATAAACTCCAAAGGAAATAATGCATATTCCATTATATTTGTGTTTATGACTTTTTAATCTTGCAGACCAAAGGATATATCACTTTGGTTATTAGAAAACTAATAGAAGGTTGCTACTCAAGTCATAACAAAACACACATCAAATGTCTAAAACACAATAATTGATAGTTGTTAAATCCTTATTTCTTTCTGAATCAATACACACAGTTTAGAAAGTTAGTTTATTCCTAAAGAAAAGATAAAAACTTCCACTAAATAAACAGCAACAAAAATTTTGTGATGTGACATATTTAGACACTGCTTTAACATGATTGAAATTTATTTACTAATGAATTTCTCAAAGTGTTTTGTCTCTCAGGTTTATTACATAATTTGTTTCACAACATTTTAGCAAAATTATACTTTTCCTCATATGTTTCATTAGAAATTAATTTCTCATAAATGACTATTTAATGGAATGACAGGATGCATAGTATTAATTTCTAAAATCTCCGGAAAGCTAAGAATGATGTCATAAATAATGTTTATCAAACATCAACTGAATGGATAATGTTATTTAATGTCAAC